GATGTTGAGGGGCACCACGAAGCCAGTGCTCCTACAACTGGGAGGGGAAATCGTCCCTGGCGATGTCATCCTGCCAGGAAGGGAAAACCAGGGGCTGTCCACGGATTCGTGGGCTGAGGCTGCAGCTGCCCTGGAAACAACAGGGGGATGGATGGCTGAGAGGCAGAGCGGGTTCACGTCCAACCCATCTGCAAGACACAACGTGGTCACAGGTGGAGGCTGGTGATGGGATGAAGCACTGCAGGGTTGTATCTGGTGGTGGTGCAGTCCCACACGTAGTGGGAGTGAGCTTGATAGGTTGAGCTCTCTGCTGTGAAATGTCCCTACTACCCAAGCTTCTGCATCAGTCATGAACCAAAGCCATCTCCATGCCACTATCTCCAATCACTTGTTGCTTTAATGCTCTCCTGGGCTCTTGGTAGCCACTGGTACCTGGGAAGGAGTTTTAACACATGGAGAGCACATCCACAGCTGGCACCAGACCAACTACTTGAATCCCCCCCCAAAATAAAACCTAACAATGGTGGAATCTGCAAAATCCAGATTTTGGTTGGTGGTTCTCTAGTGGTACCCCTCAGTCCTTTCTCTGGACCGCAGCTTTTTTTGGAGATCTCTGCAGCCATTTTGGCATGGGAGCTTTGTGCCTTTCCTTGACACAGTCAAGGCTGCTCATCAAACAACATTGGTCACAATATTGGTCCCTGCTGCCTTCCTCTGCTACCCGTGACTGTCTGTCTGGGAGATTTTTCCATCTCCCAGGAGTGTTACTGTGATAAGCTAAATATCTCCCTTCCATGCCCAAAGTATGAATTGGCCACCAGCATGGATTTGCAATTTATATGTTAATTGTATCTGCCTCCAGGGACAGTGCTGACCTCCAGAAAGGAGGGTTTAATTGAAAAATATGCAAAGGATGCTCCTGACTTTTCATCCGGAGAGGAATTTTCCCCTGGTCCGTGCAGATGGCTGAGAACAAGCAGCCTTTCCAGAGAGGCACTGAGCCTCACCTGCACTGATGAACGGGGTCTTGCTAATCAGGCTTCAGCCTGTGCCACGTAAGAGAAGGCAGGGTAATCACATTTGCTCCTAGCTGACAAAAAGAAGGTCCTTTAATCAGCATCCTCTGGGCTTTGACCCCCGTGCTAATGATCTGGCACCCGGTGGGATGCTGGAAAAGTTCAAAATTTTAAGAGGAATTCCAGCAAAGTAATTGTTGGTGTCTCCACACCTCTGAAAATGTCACAAGAGGAGATTTAAAACAGCACCCAAGTAAGTGGAGAAGATGGTGTGGTGCCTAGCATTCCTGGGAGCTCCAGGCTTTCTGCATTAGGGGAAAAAGGAAAGCAGGATTTTTCCCAAGAGCCTGCTGATCCCCAGAGATGGACTGAAACAGAGAGGTACTGCTAAAGCTGGCACAGCGCTCAGGCAACAAGATGATTGCAAAGATGCACCCACTAGGGACTGGAAACACCCGTGGAAATGTTCCTGCACAGCCTGGCTCTGCTTTCCCACTGGGAAACTGGTGCCGTGATTTACTGGGAACCTCTGCCCCGTGCAGGGAAATCTGCCGGCAGCAGCAAGACCAGGCAGGTTGGGATGGTGCATTTCCCACTGCAACAGGGGTGGGAAAACTGGGGAGAAGGGAAAAGCAGCAACTTGCTGAAGGTCATTCAGCAAACCAGGGACAGGAGGAGGACCCGGTGTCCTGGCTGCTGGCCCATGCTTGTCCCCAAGCTCTCGGGATTTCCGTGCGCTCACAGTAAGATGACAGGAATGAAAACAGAGCTGGAAAAGCAATAAAGCCCTAATCCTCACAATCCTTGCCTTCTTTCCCCGAAAGCCCATCGCTTCTGCAAGGGCCCTGCGGCATCGCAGCAGGATGCCTTGTACCTACCGACTGCATTGCAGAGCACACACGCAGGCAAATTAAATTGCTGTTGTTCTGGCATTACTTCATCTTAGGCCTTTTGTTTATCTACCTTATTTCCAGAAGTTTATTTGGGTTTAGGAGCATCTCTTACATTTCAGCAAAATAAAAAAACCAAGAGGTGAGGATTCTCTGGTTTAGATTTCTTTCCTGTCTGAGTAGGAAAAGCAGCTCTGCACCCTGGAGAATGGTTTTCCTATGGGAAAGGGAACTGGAGCCCAGCACAGCCCATTCTGAAACAAAACAGGAAAATCATCTCAGTGATTGCACGAATGAACAGCAGAGCCATGTGTCCCCTACACCCATCATTGCTGCCAGCCCACTGAGCTGAGAAGCCACCAGGAATGAGACTGGGACAAAGTCCCGCTGAGGACTTACGCCCTGTAAGAGGGAAAGGGCTGAAAGAAGCCTTTCCTGACCCATTAATATGTAGGAATTCTGCTGAGGGGAAGGTCTTCACTGGCAACCTCGATGCAAAGAGGCTTCACCGTCATCTTCAGATGGGTTTTGCCTGTGCCTGGTGCCTGGGACACTGTGGTGACACCACTGGAGAGGAAAGATACCACTTTTGCTGCCCATCCTGGTGCCTTCACCGAACAGACAGGGACTACACAGTACCCACATTTCCCCCCAAATCCTAGAAACCTCCCCAAAACCACTGGCAAACTTGCTGGGATGAGAGACAGCAACTAAATCTGCAGCAAGTTAATGATGGCAGCCCAGAGATTGACTCATCAGGCGAATAACTCCCAGGGACGGAGAGCGGTCCCCGAGCATCGCTCGCTGCCCTGTGCCACCTCTGAGAAACTCCCACGCTGGAGCAGTATTTCAGCCTTTCGTGGGATTTCATTAAGGGTTATTAGCAGCTCCGTAATCGCCGCTGGAGCAGGGTTTCGTGTTCTGCTTAATGAAGTGTCAGTGCTTCTGAAGGGAAGATACGTGTTTTAATGATGGTTTAAGGCTGCGGTGGAAGCGTGCAGGCAGGGAGGGAGAGACGGACAGTCTGGAAACCCAGATGAGGGCAGTCCTCAGCACCAACTGTCCCAGAACCTTATTTCATCCCCATTTTATCCAGACGTGGGGTTCCACCACCAGGAGTGAGTCAAACAACAGGGATGCAGGAGATGTAATTTAACAGGAAAATTTGCTTTTTTGGTGCTTTACTCCATCTAGTGCCGACAGAGCGAGGCTCAAAGGGGACACGGGTGTTGGTGGAACCCTTGGGAGCCCTTTTGGGAACCTGCCCCTGGGGAAGTCACCTTGTCCCATAGACCTTCTCCCCCGGCACTGTGTGGCACCCCACTCTCCGTGGGGAGCAGCCCTGGCTTGTCCCAGCCTCTGGGGAGGAATGACCCTGCTCCCAGCCACACAGAATGAAAAAAACCAAACCAAAATAAGCCCAGACGCACCAGTCCAGCTCCACATCCCCAGCATAGGGGATGAGCAGCCACGGTCGGCAAGCTGGCAAGACACAGGGTGGTTTGCAGATACAGTAAGCTCCTCCAGAGACCCCTCATGCACCCCAGTTCAGAGTCAGCACCCACGTCCTGTCCTGGTTTTGGCTGGGATAGAGTTATTTTTCTTCCTAGTAGCTGGTATAGTGTTATGTTTTGGGTTTAGTATGAGAAAAATGTTGATAACACACTCATGTTTTCAGTTGTTGCTAAGTAGTGTTTACACTCAGTCAAGGATTTTTCAGCTTCTCACACCCAGCCAGCAAGAAGGCTGGAGGGGCACAAGAAGCTGGGAGGGGACACGGCCAGGACAGCTGGCCCAAACTGGCCAAAGGGGTATTCCATACCATGTGGTGTCATGCCCAGTATATAAACTGGGGGGAGTTGGCCGGGGGGGGGGCAGATTGCTGCTCGGGAACTGACTGGCCATCAGTCAGTGAGTGGTGAGCAATTGCATTGTGCATGACTTGTTTTGTATATTCCAATCTTTTTATTATTATTGTCATTTTATTATCATTATTATTTATTTCCTTTCTGTCCTGTTAAACTGTTCTTATCTCAACCCATGAGTTTTACTTTTTTCCCCGATTCTCTCCCCCATCCCGCTGGGTAGGGGGGAAGCGAGTGAGTGGCTGGGTGGGGCTTTCCCGCCGGCTGGGGTTAAACCACGACACATCCCTATGCGGAGGGATGCCCCAGGCAGCCCTGCCCCTACCCCTGCTCACTGGATCCGATATCCACAAACACAGCCCCAACCCCGCACCAAGGGGCTGTAGCATTTTTAGGCCATCCCGTGATCGGCCGTGGGGTCGCCCACACCGCAGCGGGGCTGGGAGCTGCGGGAAGACCCCATCCCCCTTGGGGTGCCCATTTTCACTTGCGACTTCAGCTGAAGATCTGCAAAACTTCTACTTTATTACTCCTAATTGAATGCCAGAAGATAAAAAGTCTCCTTTGCATCCCGTCTGTGGGATAGCATGGGCATCACTTTCCCCATCACAGCACGTCCTCCACTGCTTCTTGCTCCCCAAAAATGAACCCAAAACAGCAAGACACAGGGATGCTCCACAGTCTGGCCCCGGTCCAGTACCCAACACATTTGGTGGGGACAGGAGCACCCCATAGCACCACACATTTTCTGCAAGCAGCTTGCTGGGAGAAAGGAGGTAGAGCTCCGCTCTCGTCCTGGTCCCTACCTGGGCAGCCAGACTGGTTGAACTGGGCACAGGCAGGCATCCTGCCACCCCAGGGCTTGCTGGGGCAGGTCACTGGGGGACGGGGCTGAGTGCTTGTGTCTTGCCTGGCCAAAAAGCAGTGGTGGCAAAGAGGGAAGGGGGGATGCGTCTGCCTCGTCAAGAGGGTCAGTGGCCGCAAGATTCTGGTGATGGAAATGGAGCAGCAAGGCGGGAGAGGGGAAAAAAGGAGAAAAAAAGGATGCAAAAAGCAAGAAAACGGAGTGGGTCAGCTGCAACTGAGGGTCTCAGAGCCAGAGCTGGGGGAAAAGGAAAAGAGAGGGGCCAAGATGAGGCCCAGAGGGGCAGCAAACCTCATCCCACCTCAGGTGGCCTCTACCTGACCAGGTAGGAGCAGAGAAAGCCCCCAGGGCCAAGCGGTGGCACTCAAGGCTGCAAGGGCTGGGGGACTACCCGAGGCAGAGGGGACAGGGATCGTGCCAGGTCCCGGGCCGTGCCATCCAGCTCCAGGCCGTGCCCCCGGTCAGGGTGGGGGGCGGCAGGGGGCCGAGGTCCATGGGTGCGCTGGTGGCGGGTGAGGTGTGAACGGCGGCTGAAGCACTTGGCGCAGAGCGGGCAGCAGTAGGGCCGCTCGCCGGTGTGCAGGCGCTGGTGGATGACCAGCTCGGAGCGCTGGGTGAAGGCTTTGCCGCAGCTGGGGCAGGGGAAGGGACGTTGGCCCAGGTGGGCTCGGCGATGCTTGGCCAGGTTGGAGCTGACGCTGAAGCGTCGCCCGCACTCAGGGCAGCCGTAGGGCCGCTCGCCCGTGTGCCGGCGCTGATGGATGGTAAGGTCAGAGCGCTGCAGGAATCGCTTGCCGCAGTCCCCGCACTGGTGCGGCCGCTCGCCCGAGTGGATGCGCCGGTGCTTGCTGAGGGCCGAGCGCTGCGTGAAGCCTTTGCCGCACTCGGCACACGGGTAACACTGGCGGCTCCCAGCTGGCAGAGGGGAAACCACAGCCACTGGGCTGCTTGTCCAGCCCACGGGTACCTCGGCCGGGCGGCCCCGGTGGCTGCCTCGCCGTCTGAAAGCCACACGGGAGCCCTGGGGCCGGATGCCTTTGGTGGTCACTGGGGTACGCTGGTGCCTGGCCAGCCCGGCGCCGAGGCGGACGCGGCGCCTGTGGGCTGGGCACTCGCAGGGGGTTCTGTGCTGGGGGAGGACGGGGGATGCCGGCCCTGCACACCTCCCAGAAGCTGGGCACTTGCACGGGCTCCCCACGGGCCAGGGCCGGAGGGCCAGCTCTGCCCACGGCAGGAGACATTTGGCAGCCTCCACACCAAGCAGGGGGGTCCGTGGCGAGGCAGAGAGCTCTTCACCGTCTGCGCAACCATGGAGCATCTCCTCCAGCGCTCCACCACCTTTTGGGGGGGCATCGCCCTGCCCACTGCAGTCCTCCTTGCACCCAGACCGGGGACCTTGGTCTGGCTCCTCCAACTGAGGTTTCAGGGGGGCTGGGGTATCTCTGGCTGTCCTGACGGCTTCCCCACAAGCCGATGTACTGGGGGGGCCTGTTGAGGGGCTCTCCTGTGCCCCATCAGGGCCTTGCTGGCATGCCTGGGCTGCGTCCTGCTCCGAGCTCTGGGGGACACTCCCTGCAGTCACCCCTGAGAAGATGCCCCATGCACCCGCCGTCACTGTATTGCCATCCCAAGGACGCATCTCTTCCGTCACCATCTCAGTCCCACTGCCCGCTGGAACAGAGAGAGAGGAACACACTGCTTAGGGGAAAGGAGGGCCGAGAGGAAACCCACAGCAGTCTGCTGCCATGCCGGCTGCTCCGGGGCATCTCTGCTCTGCCGGCTCTTACCTCTGCCTCTGGGGCCCTTCACAGCCCTCCGGCACCGCCGGACTCTCCCTTCCTGCTTCTGCTCCTCCATCAGCTCCTGCAGCATCTTCTCCACCTGGCTCCGGCCGATGGTTTGCAGGACGGCCTTCAGCTGCTTCCGAAAATCGGGCAAAGACAGCCCCAGGCACAAGGGGGTTGTTGCCAGACCGTACGGCAGCTCCGGCTGCCCCTGGGGAGGCTCTAGGTCTGCATCTGCAAAGCATTGGAGGAGATGACGCTAGGAAAGCAATGCTAACACAGAGCTCCTGCTGCTCCTCAGGTGGGTCACCCCTCCACAGGGCTGTCACCCCCCTGTCCCCAGCCACCGGCAGCTCTGAGACGGCCAGGCTCAGAAGATGCCAGTGACAACAGGACCGTGGTACGGGAACAAAACGCCACGTGACAGCAAACAAAGAAAGATTTTTCCTTGCTCATCCCCACCACGAGCGCCAGGAGCTGCAGAGGCAGCTCAGGACAGGGCAGAGGCTGTCGTTCCCCAAGCATGGTATAACACATCTGTGCTAGGCAGAACAGAGACAAGTTTTGGCAGAGATTTATTAACTTGCCCCAGCTCTGTACGGGAGCCTGCGGTCTTTAAGACACCCGGGCCTGCTTTGGGCTGTGAAAATGGTAGTGCTGTCCTCTGAAATGCCCACTGAGAACAGGCACAAAACAGGGATAATAACTGCCATTGCGTCCCTTCTGCCAGCTAACTCACCATGCAGCAAACTTTGGCGCCTGGGGGGCTCAGTCAGGGCAGCTATCCGAGGCCAGCTGATGGCAATCTCTTCCACTAGCAGAAAACAGAGCAGGGATTAGGAACACGCACAGAAATTACAAAGGTTTCTCCTCCCCAGCTACAACGCCGTGAAAGGAAGCAGGACAGCAAAAATAAAACCTCCACAGAAGCCTCCTCCTCTGCTTCAGAGCGAGATCAGCCCCCGCCTCGAGCCAGCAGCAGTCCCCGCAAAACCCCGAGACGATCCCCAGCTACGGGTACATTTCTCTGAGCATCTCGTCCTGGCTCCCCAGAGGTGACGCCTACCCGTGACACTGTGGAAGGGACAAATGACACATGCTGAGGCCGGCCCCGGCCGCTCTCCTCGGTAGAAGGGAGCTGGGACACAGTCGCGGTGGCTGAGCTGACCTGTCCCTGCAGGACTGAGGGTTGCAGGGACAAGGAGGGGGGTTTACACCCCAGCCCAGCCCGAAATCCCGAGAAGGGATGTCGGGGTCACCGCGGCGGTCCGAAAGCGCAGAGGCGCAACGGGGCCTTTTGCTCGAGGAGCTCCAGCCGGACAAGGCAGGGCTGAGGGGGCCAAAGCCCGCCCGGTGCCACCGCTGCAGGGTCCTTACCCAGGGAGATGACCGACTCGTAGCCGTCCTGCATCGCGCCGTGGGGCTCTCGGGGCCCCGCTCCGGGCCTCCCTGCGCCTGCGAGGGAAGGGATTGCCGTTCACACCGGTGCTGCTCCACCCTGCCCCGCACCGGGCCCTGCTCCTGCCCTGCCCCACGCTAAGCCCTGCTCCAGCCCGGCCCCAGCCCGGCTCGCCGAGGGCCGAGCTGCGGGCAAGGGACGGGCGGGCCCGGCACCGCGCCGGGAGCCTCCCC